AAGGGACGTAAATTCCGGCTCTGTCCACCGTCAGGGTTGTTAGAAAACGAAGTAAGATGATGGAAGTAAAATGCTTTCTAATCCAGAAAGACTATAGAAATGTAAGTTGGGTTTGGTGGGGGTTTTGGTTTGCTTGCTGTGTTTTGTTTTTTAGCACATATGGGGCATATCTTCCGACAAAGTGCGTTTGGCTGAATGGGACGAAAGCAATAAACTAGCTTATTAATAACTATTAAGTGCCTGCCCTGTCACAGCACAGCGGAGACATGCAAGGAATGAAAGACACAGCTCTGTCCTGAGGAGTTTATAATATTGTGGAAGAGACGGATAAATCAATACCCAAGAGTATATTTTCAAAGACTTTAGCCTACAAGAGAAATCAGAATTCAGGAGCTGGGGAAATTAGGTGAAGGAGGTCAGCTTTCAGGAAAAGGATGAAACCTGAGTTGTGTTTTGAGGAATGGAGGGGATTTGAAGGGCAGGAGGAGACAGAGCTCCAGCAGAGATGTGAAAATGAAACGCTAGCGCTGCAGGAGGGAGACGACTGGGAAAAAGCAGGATTTCTGGCGTTCTGAGCCCACGTACCACGGCTGCCTTTACGTTTGGGGCACTGCCAGGCTCTAATCCTACTGCTGGTCTAGCAGGAAGCAGCCTCCACTCTCTTCCTGGGACCCCCTTTTAACTCGTCTTCCCCTGCGGCGTTTGCTGTTGCATTAACGGACCTGGAAGGAGAGTTAACAGCAGTGATGTGTCAAATGACCCCCTACTTCTTAAGATCATGATGAAAGGCAATTGAGGATGAAGTCTTGCTTACTTTAAGCTAGTTAAGACAGGTTATGAGTCGGCATCTTAATCTGGTCCAGGTAAACTACTCTGTGGTTTAATCAGTTTCCCAAGCCAAAATCAGCCCCAAGGGAAAGGTAAATTACTTTAATGCTTAGCTATATTTTGAGGAAGCAAGATAGCATGTAGACCAATAGAGTCCCCTTTTTAATCTGTGGCCAAATAAATGCTTGAAAGACATTAAAGGGAGACACAAAGATACATCAAAATAAGAAAATAGCAAAGCTCTTTCATCCTGAATTAGATTCATAAATGTCAGAATGAACTCATGGTTTATTTTCTTTAAAAAACAAACAAACAAAAACCAAAGGACAAACGGAAGTTATTTCCTAGCTCTGTCCACTGGAAAGCACTAGGACCAGTGACTAACTCAGTAGCAATGAGCACCAGGACTGTGGTCTCAAATACAAACGTCCACTGAACGGAGCCAGGGTGCCTTCGAACAAAATAAGGCAGGAATAGCAACATGGACATCACTGATGTGAAATCTGCAGCAAGTGCGTTATGATACGAAAGGGACTTTTTTTTAATGATAAAAGGGAAATTGTATAACAAGAACCTGAGGCTATAGCACCAAATAACCTAAAAGCAAAACACACAGAAAGGTAAGATTGTGGCACGGCTGCTCCACAGGCGGTGAGGTGGGTTCTCTGCTTGTCTCTGTGTGACGTCATGTGTGCTTGTCTCTGTGTGGCGTCACGTGTGCTTGTCTCTGTGTGGCGTCACGTGTGCTTGTCTCTGTGTGACGTTAGTATTGATCGTGGCTCCTAACGACCTCGGACTGACCCATCCATTGTAAATTTCCCTCTCAGCTTTCCTCTACTGCTCTAGCTTCCATTGATGATCATACCCCGGGATTTGTTATTTTATGTGGGGTTGCAAAATGGTAATATTGTAATACTATTATTTCATCTTTTATCTGGAATTCCATACAGAAGAACTCTTCCTCCTCAATTATTTGATTAATCTGAGTTGTGCTTCCTACGCAGGACAGGAATAAAGACGCAGACATAGAGAATGGACTTGAGGACACGGGGAGGGGGAAGGGTAAGCTGGGATGAAGTGAGAGAGTGGCATTGACATATATACACTACCAAACGTAAAATAGCTAGCTAGTGGGAAGCAGCCGCACAGCACAGGGAGATCAGCTCAGTGCTTTGTGACCACCTAGAGGGGTGGGATAGGGAGGGAGGGAGGGAGGGAGACGCAAGAGGGAGGAGATGTGGGGATATATGTATACCTATAGCTGATTCACTTTGTTATACAGCAGAAACTAACACACCATTGTAAAGCAGTTATACTTCAATAAAGATGTTAAAAAAAATTAAAAATTTAAAAAAAATTATAAAAAAATAAATAAATGAGTGATTCTTACTTTTTATTTATAAATTTTCAGAATAACGAGTTGCTTCTGTTGACACTCAATCCCCAAGGGTGACCCAGAGGATTTGGGAGGGGGAGGGGTGTCATTATGCATTCATGGATTTTAACAGATTTAATGTATTTCAACCCATTGTAGTCATTATTCTTTGCGATGCCCCCAAATCATCCCCTCAGGTCCGCCTGTGAGTTCTCTAGACAGGGCCCCAGCAGCTCCCTTGCTTTCTGATGCAACAGTGTGTTCCAGGCTCGTGTCCAACCTTTGCTTCTACAGACCTGGCGGCAGCCATTTCTCAGGGAGCCCTGGTTCCTTTTGGAGACCACAGTCCTGGTGTTCCTTGGTACTGAGCTGGTCCTTGGTACCAGGACTTTTCAGTGGATAGAGCTAGGTAGTAAGGCTTTTTGTTTCTCAGTTGTTTTTTCTCTTTTCTTTTTAAAGAAAATATATCATGAGTTCACTGACATTTACAATTCAAATTTAGCATGACACAACTTTTAAGTTTTCATGCATTTCTTTATTTCTTTAATCTCCCTTTTTGCACTGATTTTCTCCCAGACTTAAAACATCCCTATGGCATTAATATCGTGATTTATTTGCTGTGTTTATTTTGTTTATTTAGTTTCACAGTAACAATACTCCTGCTTAGCAACAAAATGGAAACCGAAAACAGTGTAAGTTTCCTCTGCGGGCATTTGGCCTGAGGATATGTGCCCCTAGGAAGTACTGGGAAGTAAAATCACTGTGTTTAAAAAATGCTTGAAATACCTCTTCCTGTGTGGTCAAGCAACCTACCCAATACCGACAGACACTTCTTCCCCTTTGCTTTTAGTTTTGAGGGGTGGCCTTTCAAGAATTTTTATGTGAAACATTTATTCCACACTGTTCTGAAGTTGAATCTACCAAACAAGTACAGTCAAAGAATTCCGGCTTCCGTCCTGTCCCTTGGTTAGTTCCCTCCGCTGGTCACCAATTGTTCCAGTTACTGAGGCTACAGCACAAAAGGCCCCAAACCTAGTGCCGTGCACCGCCGTCCATCACACTCGCTCACTGGGGCCGCAGCTCAGACGCCCCGCAGGGTGACTTGACTCTGCTTGCTGATGCGGGGTCTCAGCTGGAAGAGTCAGGTTGGGTGCTGGGGTCACCTGGGGCAGTGCTGCTGGCTCCGGTCCTTCCTAGGTGGCCGTCCCACGTGCCTCTCTGCCTGAGTCTGCACTTCAGCACCTGGCAGGCTTGCTCCGGAGAGCATCCTAGGAGAGAGAGCCCAGGGAGGCTGTAAGACCTCAGAAGCCACACAGCGTCCCCTCCGCTACGTTCTCCCAGGCGAAGGGTCAGCAATCCCACCCAGGGTCACTGAAGCAGGGGCCTCCGTAACTCCACGGAGCACGACAAGGTTCTGGAAGAGTCTCTGGGCTGGCAAGAACGCCGTGGCCACTTTGGAAAATGACACGACACTGGGATGCGGTTCGGTTTGTCCGTCCGTTTTAAATGCTTGAAGACGGGAGAAGAATGGGGACAGTTCTGCAAAGGCATTCCACGAGGCAGCGGATCCGGGAGGGGACTTGGAAGGATGGACGGTGCTGGTGGCGACGAGGACAGGGGCCCCAAGAAGGGGGAAGTGGGCGCGAGCAGGAAGCCAGAGCTGCGCTGCAAGGCCAGCAGGAGGCCCACCTTTCTCATTCCTTTGAGGGAAGGAGGAATCCCATTTGAATGAGCTGGGATTTTTTTTCTTTGAAATTGACTTGTCAGTGCTTGTACATAAGGGATAATTATTTGGGACTTATATTCACAGCAAGCACAAGCTTGCACGAGCTTTTTTCTGCACGGCAGCCTCCTATATAACGCCTGTGGGCTCCCACTACCCATCGCACTCAGAGGAGGTCTTTGTAGGGAGGCAGGGCCGGTGCACTGAATGCAGGGTGCCAGGCCCTCTCCCGGGCATGCATGGGCACAGCTGGAAACCTCAGCTGCACCTGTTCAAGGTCACACAGTAGCTTTAAGGCCACTCGATGGCTGACTTCAGAGCCCTTTCCAATATGTTTGAGCATTAGTTATATGTATTTATATCGGCTACTAAACACTATTGATCAAGACTAAATATTAATAGAACATCCACTACATTAACTGTTAATGAATATTCAACTATTATCTGTAAGGCAGAAGTGCTTATCTAAGGGAAAACAGCGCAGTCGTGTCGTAAAATCTCAGAAGTCTAAGTCTGCTTAATTTTTGGTTTTCTTCCAGTTTTATTGAGATATAATTGACACACAGCGCTGAATACAGTTGAGGCGCACAGAATAATGATTTGACTTTTGTACATCCTGAAATGATGACCACTGTAAGTCTGGTGAACGTCCATCATCCATATAGACACAAAATTAAAGAAATAGAAAAAAATTCTTTTTCTTGTGATGAGAACTCTTAGGCCTACTCTCTCAACAACTTTCATATATAACATGCAGCAGTGCTCATCACATTGATCGTCCTGTACATGACATCCCTAGTACTTACTTATAACTGGAAGTTTGTCCCTTTTGACAGCCTTCCTCTAAATCCCCCCCTCCTCCTCTGCTTAGTTTTTTTTTAAGATAAGTAATTTTTTTTTTTTTTTTTTTTGGTACGCGGGCCTCTCATTGTCGTGGCCTCTCCCGTTGCGGAGCACAGGCTCCGGACGCACAGGCTCAGCGGCCATGGCTCACAGGCCCAGCCGCTCCGCGGCATGTGGGATCCTCCCGGACCGGGGCACGAACCCGCATCCCCTGCATCGGCAGGCGGACTCTCAACCACTGTGCCACCAGGGAAGCCCAAGATAAGTAATTTTTAAAAACATCCAAGTAAACAGTCTCTTCTAATATCCATGTAGGAACGTGTGTGGGATGTGTGCACAGGTGCATACGTGTGTGTCAGTGAGCTTAATTTTTTCTTTCTTTTTTCAGGAAGTGATACATTCTTTTATTTCACATTTAGAATATTATGCTGTTTGGCTTGTCGTAGTCTTATTCTCGCTTCCAAAACATTTCTTCCCTATAGTTCCAACTATTAAAGTGAATCTTCAAGAAAAACGACACCATGAAAATCACTTGGCTGATCTTTTTCTGTTCCTCTCTTGTTCCTGTTTTGTCATAACCACAGCTCAGAGTAAAGCAGCTCCGCAGAACAGCTCCCTCGGCAGCCGGGCTGGCACGGCAAGGCCACACGTATTGGTCCTATGAGAGTCGGAGAAAGGTCAGAGGGAAAACACCCAGAAAGTGTCCCAACGTTCTCAATATATAAATAATTTAGAATGCAAAGGAGTTTTTAAGGAAAGAGTCCCCAAAGTGTGACAAAGCTACTTAAAGCTTCAGAACCTAAAAAGATGCCGCAGAGACTGGAGACATTCTCTCCTGTTATGGCTTTTCACACACAAGGTCTAAAACCAACGCCCACCGGCACCAGGCTCAGGGCTAAGGCAGAATCGCCGAGACCCCCAGGAGCCCCTTGAGGTCCTTCCCTCCCAGGTGAGGGTCCACAGGCTCTGTCATAAGAAACAAAGCAGCACTGGGCTCCTAATACGTGCCAAGCGCAGTGGGCTCGGACTAAGCCGCTAACGACACTTTTTTGACCATCATGACAGGTCCTCAGAGCGCGTTGCTTTCCTATTTTACAAATGAGGAAGTCGAGGCTTCTTGAAGCCAGTTAGCTTACCAAGGTCACACAAGTCATAAGTGGAGAGTCTGAACTCACCCCCAGACAGGCCCGTTCCCAACCGCTGGAGATACCTGACCCAGAGCCCCCGTTCACCTGAGCCTCCCCTGGCCTGGACGGGGCGGCAAGACTGGACGACGCCAGTGAAGGTGAGCGGGACCCCAGCTGGCAGGCCCCTCCTGTGGCTCCTGCGGGTCACGCGGCCCCCAGCTCCGGGCTCTGCTCCCTGAGAGCCAATGCAGACATCAGCGCGGAATGCACTGTTGGAAAACTTTGCTCTGACGTTCAGCACAGGTGCCTGCTCTGCAGCTGAGCGCTCAGTGTTTTATCAGTTCGCATCTGACAAGTCCCCCACCAGCGGGTGCTGCGCGCCCACCCGGGGCTTTTCAGCCAAATCTGTGCTGTGGTTCCTGTTACTCTGCCCACTGGGCATCTCTTGCGAGGTGGGGGGGAAGCAGGGGCACACCCCCGGCCAGCACAGACGAGCAACCTGCGCCCACCTCCCACCCTCCGCTTGCCCACTTGGCTTTCCAAGGCCTTCTTTCCGCCTCATTGATGGTGGACCATGTTACTTTTCCCAGCTATTGGCTGACGTTCCGCATACGCTCTCAACATTTGCTCTGTGACTACAATGCCCTCCCCTGCGGGAGGTGTACACTTCCTTCCTCGTTGTCACCAGGCTTGGCCATGTGACATGTTCTGGCCAAAAGAATTTGAATAGAAGACCAGATGTCAGATGCTGAGGGATCGGAGCCCGGGGGTGGTTCTGCCACCGCTGGGCCGTTGGAAAGGCAGGTACCAGCTCCAGCTGTTCCTTCAGCCTGGGTCCCAGAGTGAAAATAACCTGACCCACCACCAGTATGGAACACGGGCAAAGATTGACCTTTGTTGGTGTAGTTAGTGAAGCCCTGAGATTTGGGAGGTGTTTGCTGTCGCAGTATAACCTGCAGTGTTTCCTGAGTTGGGAACAGGAAAGCAAAGGGAGTTAAACCAGTAAGAAGTTGTGTAATAAAGGTTCCTGAGAGTCTGAGGCATCAGCATTGGTTTAAGGCCGATCTGGTCATTGAAATGGCTGTTGCCATCTCGTCCCCTGCCTCCTGTGGACATGCTTCTTCACAAGCTAACTCTATCTCTTAAACAGCATGATGTCCCTGTGACAGCTCGCCAGCTTCCAGAGCCCCAGTTTGGCCTGGACCCCGGCTGCCCCTCCCACCTTCTTCTTTTTTTTTTTACATTTTTTTTGTATTGAAGTCTAGTGGATTGACAAGGTTGCGTCAATTTCTGCTGCACAGCAGTGACTCAGCCATACATATACATACATTCTTTTTTTATATTCTTTTCCATTATGCTTTATCATAGGATATTGAATACAGTTCCCTGTGCTATACCTTCTTTCTTATACGTTTATTGGACTCTCCCCCTGCTCTGTTTAGGGTCTAGCTAAGTGGACAGTATTGAACAAGATGACATCCCAGGTCCAGATCCAGGTTTGGGGGTTGAAAACTTGTACAATTTGGAGGTCCCTCACTGAGAACCGGAACAAAAACCCATGAATACAAAATGAGGGACAGGGCCTTGGAGGCCCATGCCAGTGAGGGGCCTGAGCTGAACCCTCATCAGCTTCACGGTCAATGCACCTCGGGGGGTGGGGTGAGGAAGGGGTGGAGAGGATGAACACAGAGATAACAGGAAACTCAAAGGCGATGAAGAGAGCCCTGCTGAAAATAAACAAGGTGATGCAGTGGGAAGTAGCCAGTGGTGACGATCCTGAATGTTACTTGAGCCTGTGATCCTGAACCACAGCGAAGGTTAAAAAGTCCCTCTGCCCTTTGTGTTCCAGAAAACAGCTCACTGCAAGGACTCAGATACGACTGCAAGATGCCCCTGTTTACCTGGGACAAGGCCAGACACGGACCCTCCGAATTCCCATTCCTCAACGCACTTCAGTCCCCAGTGGTCATTCGGAACATGACGCTCAGTAACCAACCTTCCGTTCAGCTTCTCTCCTTCTTCCAGGCCTAGACCTTTGGTCCAGCCTCACCCAGAGCCAGCAGGAGCCCCTCCTGAGCACACGCAGGCCAGCAGGAGCCCCTCCTGACGTCCTCTCCTAGGAAGCCACCCTCCCAGCCCATCTCCCACCCCCGGTTCTTTCTAGCTGTGTTTACCCCTCTCTGTAAAGAAAGCCCTTTTCGCCTAACCCTTGAGAAGCTCGCAGACCTTCAAGCCAGAGCTTTCTGCTGTCGCTAGAGTCCCCTCGCCCTGCAGTATCCTCGAGAATAAAATCTTTTCTAAGTCAGGTTCTGTTTTTATTTGGCTGTGGTTAGGAAAGCCCTCCCCATGGAGGAGTGATTTACACAGATGGACAATGGTTCAAGGGAGAACTAGGTTTACGGGAGGTGATTTTGTTTTAAGAAATGGATATTTTTAGCCTGAAAGAAAAGAGAGGGAAGAGGACAGAATTGTGGGGTGTGCCTAGGTTGTTTAGAGGAAGTGGTTAAAGGAGCCTGAAAGAGGCAAGCAGTTGGAGAAATGGGGAAGGCAAGAAAGGCACAACGCTGCATAAGACCACGGAGGAGCTCATGCATTCCTTCCACAGGCGCTATTTTACTGAGCACCTACTACTTGCCATCCATCGTGCCAGGCAGTGGGGACTCGGTGGTGAGTAAACTAGATATGAGTGTTGACTTGCAGTCTACAGGGAAAGACAGAAGTGAATGGAATAATCACACACATATTTCATTTCAAACAGTGGTGTGTACTATGTGGGTGAGTAACAAGGCAGAGGGCACATTGCCCGTGCACTTGGACAGTCCTGGATGGCAGAGGAACCTGAGGAAGGCATATTTTACTCAAAAGGTAAATATGAATGGGCATTAACTAGGGTAGCATGTGGGGATGGGGATGGTGTGAGGGGAGCATCTTAGCAGAGACAGTGGCTGAGGAATGACAAGGCCAGCGTTTGTGGGGTGGAGTCCACTACCGCCTGCTCTCCCCCGCCCATGGAACTGAGCATCGCTTTGATGGATCTGCACTTCCCTGGCTCTTAGACCCAGGACATTCCCTGTGTGGTTGGAGGAGGGAGCCGGCACAGGCTTGATTTGCAGTTGCCCGTTGCTCCTGGGGGCAGGCTCAGCCCCGACGGTCCTGCAGCTCTAAGTCTGTGAAGTGCTGCACACAGCGGGGCCCATGTGAATGGAGCAGAGACCAAGGGAATCGCGTGGGGTCACGGTAGGGGGGCCCTCTGCAGTCTTGGAGCTGGTCAGACATGATTGCCCGGGGATCGACGGCTGCCCCTAACACCCCTGTGGTGGGGAGGACATGGCACACGCGCCTCTCTGCCTGCTGGGTCCCGAGGGTCGCACCTCCTTGAAGACAGCATGGCCCCAAGGGAGCAGCCTCCTCCCCGCACTTTTCTGCGGCCCCAAGCCGCTGTCTCCACACACTGTCCCACTCCTTGACGGGCTGGCCACTTGGCCCTGACCGCACCGGCTCCCGGGCAGCTCAACGCCGGGAGGAGGGGCCGCGGCACCGAGGACATCAGAGAAGGTGGCTTTAAAGTCGACTTCACGGGTCCGGGCCAAAGGCGGTCGGGAACTAGACCGAAGGGGAAGCCGCGTCAAAGAGGCGAAGGGGCAGAAGGACTGACCTGGGCCGGGGGCTTGTCCTCTCGATGGGGTCGTGCCCTCCCGATGGGGGCGGTCCTCCACAAGGGGCGTGTCCTCCAGAAGGGGCGTGGCGTCGGGGCCTCACGTGGCGTGTTCGCCAGCCGGGCGCGCGTCCGTCGCACAGGGGCGTGGCGTTGGGGCGCCCTGGGCGAGTCCGAGGCTGTGGGCTGGGCCCGGGCTGGGGGCGTGACGTCAGGCGCCCGGGGCGGAAACAAGCAGGGCTCGGCTTGGGCCGCGGGGTCCGGGCGACGGTCTCGGCGAGGGTCGCGGTGCGCCTGGAGGTCCCGGTGAGGTGGCGGGGCCCCTGGGGCTCCCGGTGGTCGGCGGGCGGGGTTCCGGCGCCTCTCGGGGGCCCGCCGCGTCCTCGGCCGTGGGCTGGGGTTGGCCGCGCTGTTCGGTGGCCGCCGGCCCGGTGCACGGTCGGCTTAAGGAAATCTGCCCCTTTTTAGGGAAGCGCAGGGCCTGGCGCTGGACAAGGCCTCGCGCCCTCGGAAGGCCGCGCCTTGGTACCCCTGCGGGGTCCTCCGCCGGGTTCGGCCGATGAAGCCCGCGGCCCGCCTGGGCGCCCTGTGCCTGGCGCTGTGCTGCCTGGGCGGCGCGCGCGGGCTCTGGAGGAGGTGAGCTGCGGAGGGGCGCGGGGGGGCGGGAGGGCCTGCAGGGGGACACGGGTGCCCGGAGCCACCGAGCGTCTCCCGGAGGCCTGGCGCGCACGCTTTCCGTCCAGGGTCCGGTATCCTGGTGAGGTGGTCGTGGTTCCTCTTTCCAGGTTTCTTTCTCTCGCCCTTCCTCCGCTCCCTCTCTTTCCCTCTTTCCATCCTTTCTGTTGCAGCTGACAGTGTAAGGGGTAAACAGGCTGTCTGGGAGAGGAGTCTCATTTTACTAATGTAGTGGAGACCGAGATTTGAGAACCAGATTTTAATTTTCTTCTGTTTTGTTTGGGTAATGCTTCAGTTAACAGAAGGATTTCATACTTACTTCGCAGGCCTGGGAAAAGGTCAGTTTTCTTTTTTTAAAAAATTGGCGTATAGCTGCTTTACAACGTTGCGTTGGTTTCTGCTGTACGACGAAGAAGTGAATCAGCTGTATGTATACACACATTCCCTCCCTCTTGGACCTCCCTCCCACCCCACCCCCCATCCCACCCATCTAGGTCAGCGCAGAACATTGAGTAGAGTTCCCTGTGCTATACAGCAGGTTCTCATTAGTTATCTGTTTTATACATAGTAGTGTATATATGTTAATGCCAGTCCCCCAATTCATCCCACCCTCTTCTTTCCCCCCTTGGTGTCCATACGTTTGTTCTTTGCATCTGTGTCTCTATTTCTCCTTTGCAAATAGCTTCATCTGTACCATTTTTCTAGATTCCACATATATGCATTAATATACAGTATTTGTTTTTCTCTTTCTGACTTACTTCACTCTGTATGAGTCTCTAGATCCATCCACATCTCTACAAATGACCCAACTGCGTTCCTTTTTATGGCTGAGTAATATTCCATTGTATATATGTACCACATCTTCTTTATCCATTTGTTTGTTGATGGACATTTAGGTTGCTTCCATGTCCTGGCTATTGTAAATAATGCTGCAGTGAACATCGGGGTGTGTGTGTCTTTTTGAATTAATGGTTTTCTCAGGGTATATGCCCAGTAGTGGGATTGCTGGATCATATGGTAGTTCTACTTTTAGTTTTTTAAGAGCAGTTCATACTGTTCTCCATAGTGGCTGTGTGGAGAAAAGGGAACCCTCTTGCACTCTTGGTGGGAGTGTACATTGTTTTTCTTTTTTAGTGAACCGCCGTTGCTGTTTTATCACTTTAAAAAGTACCATTAAATTTCAGTTTTCCCAGGAAGTGTAT